TCAGACTGTGTGGGCGGAGCTAAGTGCTGTATACACATGGATCATCATCACATCCACCAGCAATTAATGATTCTTTTTATATCATTCATATGTGTCAATGTGTTTGCAGGGCTGCTGGGTGTGCTGCTGTTTGGAGTGGTATGGTCAATCGTGGGTCCAGAGTGCCTTCCGGGTAGGAACCTCTTTGGGCTGGTGATCCTGTTCCTCAGCGCTGTGTGTGGAGGGAAACTGATGGGAATGATCAGACTGCCCAGCTTACCTCCATTCCCACCACTACTGGGTACAGTAACACACTGACCAGACTGACCAGCTTACCTCCATTCCCACCACTACTGAATATGGTAACACACTGACCAGACTGCCCACCTTACCTCCATTCCCACCACTACTGGGTACTGTAACACACTGACCAGACTGACCACCTTACCTCCATTCCCACCACTACTGGGTACTGTAACACACTGACCAGACTGCCCACCATACCTCCATTCCTACTACTACTGAATATGGTAACACACTGACCAGACTGACCACCTTACCTCCATTCCCACCACTACTGGGTACAGTAACACACTGACCAGACTGACCAGCTTACCTCCATTCCCACCACTACTGAATATGGTAACACACTGACCAGACTGCCCAGTATACCTCCATTCCCACCACTACTGGGTACTGTAACACACTGACCAGACTGACCACCTTACACTGACCAGACTGCCCACCTTACCTCCATTCCCACCACTACTGGGTACTGTAACACACTGACCAGACTGACCACCTTACCTCCATTCCCACCACTACTGGGTACAGTAACACACTGACCAGACTGACCACCTTACCTCCATTCCCACCACTACTGGGTACAGTAACACACTGACCAGACTGCCCACTATACCTCCATTCCCACCACTACTGGGTACTGTAACACACTGACCAGACTGACCACCTTACCTCCATTCCCACCACTACTGGGTACTGTAACACACTGACCAGACTGACCACCTTACCTCCATTCCCACCACTACTGGGTACAGTAACACACTGACCAGACTGCCCACTATACCTCCATTCCCACCACTACTGGGTACTGTAACACACTGACCAGACTGACCACCTTACCTCCATTCCCACCACTACTGGGTACTGCACTGCACTGATCAGACTGACCACCTTACGCCCATTCCTCCATGTGTTCTAGGTATGCTGCTGATGGGTCTGATTCTGCGCAATGTCCCCTATGTGACCGATGCTGTGTACATTGATCAGAAGTGGTCTTCATCCCTGCGCAGCGTTGCTCTCGCCATCATCCTCACCAGAGCCGGCCTGGGACTCAACCCAGCAGTACGTACACACTGCGCCTGTGTGTTGGAGTGTGTGAGTGGTGTGGAGCAGGATACTGGGGTGGTACCTCTCGTATCACTGGGGTGGCACCTTCAAGGTCTTCAATACATTTAGTTAGGGAACAAAAAATTCCACATTTCATTGTAATTCTATATTATTTTGAATGTGACTGACTCTGCGCACCCTGTCTTGATCTGGTTTTTAATTAATTTTTTTATATTTTAAAATGTTGGTTATGAACATTACATAGTGATTACAGGACACTCTGAGTGCAGAGCAGACATTTCTGCAGCTACTCTGCTGTGTGTGTGTGTGTGTGGGGTGTGTGTGTGTGTGTGTGTGTGTGTGTGTGTGTGTGTGTGTGTGTGTGGGTGGGTGTGGGTGTGTGCGTGTATGTGTGTGTGTGCGCGTGTGGGTGTGGGTGTGTGTGTGTGTGTGGGTGTGTGCGTGTGTGTGTGTGTGTGTGTGTGTGGGTGTGTGCGTGTGTGTGTGTGTGGGTGTGGGTGTGTGTGTGTGTGTGTGTGTGGGTGTGTGCGTGTGTGTGTGTGTGTGTGTGTGTGTGTGTGTGTGTGTGTGTATCTAGGCTCTGAGGAGGCTGAAGGCGGTGTGTGTGAGAGTGGCTGTGGGACCCTGCACTACTGAAGCCTGCACTGTGGCGGTGGTCTCTCACTTCCTCATGGGGCTGCCGTGGATATGGGGCTTCATTCTCGGGTAGGTAAAACACACATCCCCAAAACATTGATTATTGATTATCTGTAGATTAGACCAGAGTCCATTTGTGCTCCTGCTTTTATATGTAGATTAATCCACACCTACTCACCTATGACCTGTCAGCAGAGAACGTCTAGTGAGGAAAACTGTTAATCGCTCCTGAGTGAATCTATAATGAATAGGTAAATGATTAATCCTTTTAATACAGACAAATGCAGTGAACTTCTCAACAGAGGACAGCATCACATTACAACACTGCTGTTATATTTTATAGGAGTTCTAACCAGGCCTGACACACTGCATTTAGCAGCCACTCCTATTCAGAGCATCTTACAGTTTAACCAGGCTACAGATGTGGGTTACCTGCTACGCTACACCGACTGCTACAGTACTGCTCAGTAGCAGTAATGCCAACCAATCAGCGCTCAGTAGCAGTAATGCTAAC